TGAGTGTCCCCTCTATACGTTCAACTTTTAATGATAAATTTCTGGTGCTTAAGTTGTCGATCTCGATCTTGCTGAACGTCACTATCTTTCTGTTTTAAAGGAGCTCAGTCACGATATTTTGGCCATGAACAAAATTAACTTTGAATTGAGGGAAACCTGAAAATAGTAGTGTACTAAGATAGAAAAACACCAAAGAGATAGCAATAAACCATAAAGGAACAAGGATGGTTTCGGATGGAGAGGATTAACACGGATTACAAACGACGAACTTCAAAATTTGGGCTTAGCTTTTCAAGGTACCCAAATATCTGGGGTTTTTTTGCATAACAGTTTGCTACTGTAAAAAAATATTTTCAATGTCTGTTAAAAAAATGGCTTTCATAGTTTTGACGAGGATGGCTTTCCCCTGAATTATTATTAGCTCTTCATCTTCTTAACCCTCTTCTCAGGGTTCAAGAAAAATAGGTTCCTCCCCACCCCCCTCGACTTCCCCAACACCCTCACTCCAAGATAATTGACACGTTACCTAAAAGGATTTTTGGACGTCCCTGTAGTCTGCTTCATCAACGCTTCCTTAAAGATCTGCTTGCGGTAGATTTTTTCTTCAAGCGTCCCACAAGTGATGAGGCGGTAAATAACAACAGTCTTCTTTTGTCCAATACGATACACTCTGTTTACAAAACAACACGTTGGTTAATGTCTTTGCTATGTTTTGTGGAAAGCCTTTGGGAAGTTTTGGATTTAAGCATGCAGCCTTTTCTTATCGCTACTTCAAGAGGCCTTTCGGAAAACTAAAATGTATGCGAGAGTAATTAGATGGAACATTAAACCCTTCTACAAATGTCAAATGTAAAAACACAACTGGGAGCTAAAATGAACTGTTCAAACATACGTTCTTTTGTAGTGCTACGGGTCGAGCCTTTCGGTTTATTGAGCTGTGAACTCAATACCAAAGAAAGGACAAGTTTAACATATCAAACTATGAATTTTTTAAGACAATGGACCTATTGTTGAGCCGTTGAAAATTTCGCTCGGGCTTTCGGGTAAATCCAAAATTTAGTGTCGCATCCCAAGTGGAGATACTTCGTTTGAGATATTTTGATCTTTCTAAAGAAACATCTAGTACTCCCAAAAAGTTTGGAAGAACCTTTTAATTAGGCTTTGTTCGAAAATTTCCAACTGCCAGATAAATTAATCTTCTATCAGACTGAGCCCCTACTTCCGTGTAACACAATCTCCCCGTCCGTCCACCGGTAAATCTGTCGTCGATGCAGGCTACTATATCCTTTACCCACCCCGAGAAGGGTTGATTTTGTCATCAGCTGGTCATTAACGACGGTTTTGAATCTCGCGCTCAGAAATTTGCTAAGCGTCGATTCTTTAAAACCTTTCCGACTTTTGCTTTCTAAATAGAAAAATCCCACAATTTAAAGGCAAAAATGGTAAAGCTTGTTCGCAAAAAACTTCATCAGAGCAGATCAATGTTTTGGCCTTTGTATCGGTTATTCCCCGCTATTAATTTTTAAAACGTCAAGTTAAGTTGAGGTCACCATTTTTAAAGGGTCAGGACTTTCAGAATTTGCTGAAAAGTGTAAAATTTGGTGGGTCATTGTTACTATGGGAACATCATCTGACCTGTCCACAGCTTGTGCATCAGAGGCGGGATTCCAACTAGGATCAACTGTGGAAAAATCAGAACCAAATCAAGACCAAAGACAGATTGTAAATTTAAAGTATGCNTAAATAACAACAGTCTTCTTTTGTCCAATGCGATACACCCTGTTTACAAAACAACACGTTGGTTAGTGTCTTTGCTATGTTTTGCGGAAAGCCTTTGGCAAGTTTTGGAATTAAGCATGCAGCCTTTTCTTATCGCTACTTCAAGAGGCCTTTCGGAAAACTAAAATGTACGCCAGATTAATTAGATGGAACATTAAACCCTTCTACGAATGTCAAATGTAAAAACACAACTGGGAGCTAAAATGAACTGTTCAAACATACGTTCTTTTGTAGTGCTATGGGTCGAGCCTTTCGGTTTATTGAGCTGTGACCTCAATACCAAAGAAAGGACAAGTTTAGCATATCAAACTTTGGCTATTGCTATGGTTTGAATTTTTAAGAAAATGGACCTATTGTTGAGCCGTTGAAAATTTCGCTCGGGCTTTCGGGTAAATCCAAAATTTAGTTCGCATCCGAAGTGGAGATACTTCGTTTGAGATCTTTCGATCTTTCTAAAGAAACATCTATTACTCCCTAAAAGTTTGGAAGAACCTTTTAATTAGGCTTTGTTCGAAAATTTTCAACTGCCAGATAAATTAATCTTCTATCAGACTGAACCCATATCTCCTTGTAACACAATGTCCCCGTCCGTCCCCCGGTAAATCTGTCGTTGATGAAGGCTACTATATCCTTCACCCACCCTGAGAAGGGTTGATTTTGCCATCAACTGGTCATTAACGACGGTTTTGAATCTCGCGCTCGGAAATTTGCCAAGCGTCGGTTCTTTAAAACCTTTGTGACGTTTGTTTTCTAAATAGAAAAATCCCACAAATGGTAAAGCTTGTTTGGGAAAAACTTCATCAGAGCAGATCAATGTTTTGGCCTTTGTATCGGTTATTCCCCGCTATTACTTTCCAAAACGTCAAGTTAAGTTGAGGTCACCATTTTTAAAGGGTCACTACTTTAGGAATTTGCTGAAAAGTGTACAATTTGGTGGGTTATTGTTACTGCGGGAACATCATCTGACCTGTCCACAGCTTGTGCATCAGAGGCGGGATTCCAACTAGGATCAACTGTGGAAAAATCAGAACCAAATCAAGACCAAAGACAGATTGTAAATTTAAAGTATGCAGCTTACGAGAAACTGACATCGTAAGATTTTTCTATCAGGGTCAGTATCAACTTACAGATTACCACACGATCAGCTTTGGTGAGCGTAATGCCAACACCGCCGACCTAGAAAAGAAATCACAAATCAACAATCCTAGTCAAAAGTCTTGGGGCACTTTGCACTTTTGCCAACACATAAAATTTATGGTCTTTCCGTCCATCTTCCCCGCCCCACCCCCAACACAATGTTGATTCATCCAAAGTACACCCGCTATTCCAACATTGCTTTGGGGGAGGGGGGACGTGGAAAATTGAATAATGACCTCCCACTTCAAAATAA